GGCACTGGGGATGAGGCAGTGAACAAGTCCATCAACACTCCTGCCCTCTTTAGAGCTTTTATTTTAATAGGGGAGACATATAGCTCCTCCCCAAAAAAGTAAATAACTATATAAGTGATAAATGCCAATTAGGGTGATATCATTGAGATTAAAGACTAGAAAGGGATGGGAAGGGCGAATTTAGATATGGTCAGCAGGGAATGTGTGACTGAGAAAGCAACACTTGGGATGAGACCTAAAGGATTAGAGGAGTCAGTCATTCAAAGAGCTGGCAGGGAGAGCATAACAGAGAAAATAGCCTATAATCAAGTCTATAGCCAGAAGCAAGCCTGGTACAATTAATGAAGAAAAATAAAACCAATGTGGCTAAAGTACAGTCGTAAGAGGGAGTATATATAACATGAAGACAGCGAAGTGAGCAGGGGTCAGATTATATTAGTGTGGTAAGCTGAGTAATGGCTTCCCAAAGATGTCCATGTCTTAATCCCCATAACTTGTCAATTTTACCTGAAATGGGAAAAGGGACTTTGCGTATTTGGTTATGCTAAGCATCTTGAGATGGAGAGATGTGGGTAGATTATCCAAGTAGGCCCAAGGTAATCACAAGGGTCCTTAGAAGAGGGAAGCAGGCAATCAGAATGAGTAGTAGAAAAAAGAAATGGCAGCAGAGTTTGGAATGATATGCTTTGAAGACGGAAGAAGGGACCAAAAGGCAAGGAATGCAGGCAGCCTCCAGAAGATAAAAAAGATAAGGAAACAGATTCTCCCCTCAAGCCTCCAGAAGAAAAGCTTGACCTCAGCCCAGTGAAACTGACTTTGGACTCTGGCCTCCAGAACTGTAAGAGAACAAATTTGTGTTGTTGTAAGACATCAAAGTTGTGGTAATTTGTTATAGCAGCTATAGAAAACTAATACAGATTTTAGTACCTGAAAGTGGGGTGCTGCTATAACAAATACCTAACAATATGGAAGTGGCTTTGGAATGAGGTAACAGGTAGAAGTTTGAAGAATTTTGAGAAGCACAATAAAAAAAGCCTAAATTGCCTTGAAAAGATTCTTAGGAGAAATATGTATGTTAATGACTCTGCCAGTGAGGACTCAGAAGGAAGTGAGGAGCATGGTAGAGAAATCCTGTATCGTCTTAGATCTAGAATACCTAAATAGTCACAAACAGACCACGGGCAGTTAAAGGTTAAAGGTGCTGCTGTGAGAGCTCAGAAGGAAACAAAGAACATATTATGGAAAGTGGAGAAAAGGAGATCCTTGTCATATAGTGGCAGAAAGCTTGGCTAAATTGTGTCCTACAGTTATATGGAAAGTAGAACTTGTAAACAATGAACCGGGATCTTTAGCTCAGGAGATTTCCAAGCAAAATGCTGAAGGCTCCAAGCAAAATGTGGCCTGCTTACTTCATGCTGCTTATAGTAAAACGAGAGGAAAGAGATAAATTGAGGGAAGAACTGTTAAGAAAAGAGGAACCAGGACTTGATAATTTGGAAAATTCTCAGCCTATCTAGATTGTAAATTATGCTAAAATTAGGGATTCAACCTCAAGAAAGCATGCTCTGGAGTCAAAGTCTAGGGTGTGGCTAGAAAACCTTTTGCCAGTGCCTCAAAATGAACAAAAGTCACAATATTCAGTGACACAGAGGGCTCTCTGAAGAGATTAGACATGTGACTCACAGATCTCCTCAGCCATCTTTTGGCAGAAGCCAAAAACCGAAATGGAATTATCTAGGAAAGACCTGTGGAGATGCATCCTGTCCAAAGGAATGAATCCCCATGATATACTGAGAAGACTCACAAAAATCTTTTTTGAGAATATTATACCCGCAGAAATACCACCAGCTTGAACTCAAAGGGACAAGAGAGGACAAAATGAAAGAAGACGGACAGACTACCAAATTTCACAGGCAGGAAACAGCTAATAAAACTACTCAAATATACACTATCTTTGGTGAAAAAGGAAGGATGACTCCAAGGGTAGAGTCTCACACCCAGAGAGTGGAGCCTCACATTTCAGGGCCAAAAGCCACAGAATATTATTCCTAGGGCTTGAAACCTAATAGATTTTCCTAGTTGGATTTCAAAACTGCTTGATACCAGTGACTCCTTTCTTCCTTCCATTTTCTCACGGGTGGGGTAAAAATGTCTGTAACTGTTACACTATGCCTGTTCCTTCACTGTATTTTGAGAGCAGGTAACTTGTTTGCTAGTTTAACAGGTCTACAGATGGAGAGGAATTCTGAATATAAACGATTTAGATGATGAGACTTCTGGGTTGATGATATTTAGATGACATTTTGGAGTCTGAGTTGATGCTATAATGTAAGGCTCTGTAGATTAGGGTAAGGCACTTTGATTTTATTCCAGGTATAACGGGAATCCACAAAAGAATTTCAACCAAGAAAGTGATATGATCTGATTTACATATAAAAAGATCATTGGTATATACTCTAAGGAGAAAAGAGTGGAAGTAGGGAAACAAGTTAGAAAACTACCACAGTAGTGTAAGCAAGTGAAGACAGGGACCCAGACTACGATGATAATAGCAAGATGGAAAAAAGAGGATGGATTCAGAATATATTTTGAAGATAGAACTGACAGAACTTGCTAATAAATTCAATGTGGAAGATAAGATAATGAGAGAAATACAGGATGATTCTTAAGTTAGGACTTGAACAACTAGGTAAACTGTTCTGTTTATTAGCTGAGATGGAGAAGACTGAGAAAGGTATAGGCTCATAAGAAAATCAAGACTTGCAATTTAGACATGTCAAGTTGTTATTCTAACAGACATCCAAACAGAAATATCAAGTTAGTAGCTTGATATAAGAGCAGAGAGCTCAAGGACAGGTCAGAGCAGGATATGTAAATTTGTGCGGCATTTAAAACAACAAAACTAGATAAAATCAAACGGAGGGAAAAGAAGGAAAAATGAAGCAAGCCCAGGACCAAACTTGCTTACATTCCAATATTCAGAGGTCTGACAGACGAGAGAAACCAGCAAAGGAGGCAGAGAAGGAACGGGTAAAAAAGCTGAATACAATGTCAGACATGTCATTTTACCAGAATCATTGATGCTAATTATAATTATTCTACTTTATATAAACTTCATATGCTCTACTCTATGCAAGTCCAGCTTAAAATGAAAAAGCTTTAGCTCTGAGCATTAATTTTGAAAATATTTCAATACTTATGGAACATCCACTAGAACAGGACACTGTACTCAATGTTAAGGGGATTCACAGACAAATAGAGATTCAGAAACTTTTCCATGACATGGCTACAGTGGGATAAATTTTCAAAAATTTTTAATCCCAGATGTAAAATTCTGTAGAAAAATGGAAGGAAGCGAAAAAGCTGGACTAATATAGGGAAATCTAGGCAAGGCATGGTCTGAGAACTACCTGGATAGGAAGGGAGAGAGCAATCAAGAACAGCAAGAAGAGCCATAAAAAAAAAGTGTGTTCAGATCATCATCTATGCCTATCTATACTATTTTCCCCACATGGCTTTCCGTTACCATTGTAGCCACAAAAGGCCCTCTGCACATTTGATTTTCCTCCCTTTCAGCTGTCTCCATCCTTGTCTCGATTCTTCCTTCACCTGACCACAGTTTTAATAGCTCTCGATTCCAAATGACTCATACAGTGTCTTTTGCTGTCCAGTCAAATTCTGTGTTTTAAAAAGTTTTAGTGGGACAAGATAATAACTATAAATTTATTTCAAACATTTTTAGTAGTTCTGGATTAATATATCATAGTAGAAGACTAAAAATGTTTACATACAAGAAGAAAACAATGTATAAATTCGTCCCTTCCACCCCCATTTTAGATAAAAAGCACAAATCAACAATGATTATAGAGTGAAAATCACAATCCTAAATTTGACATTTCAGAGAACTGACTTCAATTTTCTCCTCTGTGGTACGAGAGAAAAAGTATATAGATAAACTACACTTTAATAAAGGAAGGAGATTGTTTCTAAATGAACAGCAATCGCAGGCAGTGACACATAGATAAACTAGTATGACCATGTCAAATTCACCTAAAAAGGATTAAACGTTTTTTTTCAACTCTAAAGAAGTGGAGGCTTTTCAGACCTGCTGAAGACTTACTGAAAATACGCTGACATTTTCCTAGCATGCCAATCATACTCGTGTATCACAAATACCGACGCTGCCTCAATCCTTCTTAGGGTGAAATATTAGGCAGGAGAGTGCTGCTAGCTGGCCAGACTCAGGAGGGCCAAGTCAGTTTCCAAGAAAGATGCAAGAAAAATGAAGTCTCCCAAGTTTAAAAAGAGAACAGAGTAGTAAATTTATGAGGATTTCTTCCCCTGACCTCCCCAGGTACATCTTTTCCTTTCTTCACACCATTTCACAGATTTGTGATTACTTATAAGTGGAGGGACTCCCAAGGTTCTCCTGATTCTTCCAAATCTAGAGACGGTCTGATTCCTTGCCTCCCACCTAGTAACTGAATTACCTTTCCTGGGGCCACCTTGTGGAACCACCCACTTGTCAGGTGGCTCCTTCTAAGAAAGCACAGACAGTTGTTGGTGTCAAAAGATATTGTGGTCTTTGGACATGTTCCCGATTTGAATTTCAACCAACTCCTCACATCTCTCTGATGGGGTACAGTAATAGAACAGAAGTCAATGGCAGATCAGCATGCACTCAGAGTTCAGATCCTGAAAGGGAACAAAAATCAAACCCTCCATTCTTTGCCTCTTCACCATGTCTAATAACCAACATGCTAAAAAACAGACTTTATCAGCCCATCAAAACCAAATAAAAAGTAACAACTCTCCATAACCACATTAGAAAGCAATATGCACTTTATGGATGCTTAAGTCTATAATATAAATAACAAATATTAATATTTGTTAAATTTTATACTTTGTAAGTCCAAATTATCGGCCATCTTACTAAAATTTATCATACACTGTGAAGTGCTCATTTTGTATTTAAATATCCACGCAGAGCCCTGACTTACCTTTTCTAATACAGATAAGTTCATGTACTCCACAGGTTCTTTCTCCACCTGTTAAAAAAATTTTTGTTAGAAGTTAAAAACAGGAAATAACCTGAGTTTGACTGTTACAAAGAACTGTTTTAAAGTAGCTTCTAGAAATGACCTCAGAAAAAAGTAACCTAACTCTTCTCTTTAAACTTAACTACATATATGAATAGGATAATATTCAGAATTTTCCTGAACCCTTAAATTAAGACCTTATAAAGTCTTGGAAAGAAGAAGCTTCATTCAAGTATGTTATTTTAAATGGCAAGCTTCTCAAGAGCAGAAACCCTATCACCATTTCTTAAGCCCCTCTTCACATGATCTAGAAGGAAACACTGCAAGGTAGGATCCACTTTTGTATCTGAGCCTTAATATACACAGGTAAGTTATTATGGAAGGATCAACCCTATAAAGGCACTATTTATATTTTATCAAATATACTCATATTGCATAAAAGGAAACATGAGCCTTTCCCCATTCTCCAGCTACCCACTCTTATAAATCTATAATATGACAAATTTTATAAATAAATAGTATGATGATAAAAACTAACAAATTTAACCAAAAACTTACTTTATCATAATTATCATCAAATATTACTTTGATTATCATAAAGGTAATATTTATTAGTTACTACATAAATAGATATTTCCTTCACTCTGCAACATAGTGCCACTACTTAAAATGAATGTAAGCTGAATAAGATTTTGTGGTGTTCTATATATGCATGACCTTATAATTATACTGTGAACTATGTTTAAACTTTACATAATAAAATATTAAATAATTTAATCATCTTAGCTCATTATAGAAGCTTATTATGAACAGTTAAGTTATAAGAAACAGAAATATCTTACAGCAGTAACATGAGAAATAAAAACCATGATATCCACTAAAAAAAAGTAGGTCATCTAGGAAGCAAGCTACAAAAGCTAGAAAACAGTATTTCTATCACTAAAGTAGGTTAGATCTACATTCTAACTTGGTTGTAACAATGCCATTGCTTCCTTATTATCAACACTACAGACTAATCACTGGTTATCAGGAAGATAGACTTAGCCAAGAAGAAATACCTAACTTAAAGCAATGATTATAAAAGACTTATTATTCAGCAAACCTCAGTGTAAATACAGTGAGACCTTATTAATTGGAATATTAGCAATGAGCAACCACTGATCACCTGCCAAAGAGGTAGAACGAACGATACCTATATACCACACATCTTTAAAACTCAGAAGACACTAGTCAAATGACTGGAAGGAGAATATTTACCAAATTATAAGAAGAACTCTTTTCAAGAAATTTAAAAGAATCATGTAATAACAATAACATAACTGTAATGTATACTGACGCCATCACTAATGTTTTCATAGGCCACTTAGAAATATTTCTTATACAGTCATTAAGGCCTATTCTCTAGAAGGTAACACCTGTAACTTAGTTTGAGTTATGTACTTAATTCATGTAACAAGGCTGTACTTTAAAGTCTGTAATTAAAACTAGACTTTCCCCCCTATTTAATATAAATTGGTTAGGTTTTACACATCTAATCTTAAATATAACTGCATAGTTTTTACAAGGCTTAGTACTAAAAGTAACAATAATAAAAACTATTATATTCTAAGGTTTTTCTCAAAACTGCAGAATGACAATGAAAGCTAACTCCCACTTTTTAAAGCATTCAATTTATCTATATCAAATGAAAGAATCTCATAAATAAAAAACTAAGTCAAATAATTACTATATTTTAAATTTACAGTCAATTGATAATGGTCAAATGTGCCAAAGTACACACAAAAATCACAAAACTAAAAAATGCAAGTAAGATTGTGCTCTACTATTCCTGATATTTGTTCTGAAAATTCTAACCAACAAGTAAGAATTCACTGGTGTACACGTGGAACTCAAGAGCATCACTATTATTACTGAAATGAAAAGGAATATTAAAGATAAATAAATGCCAGACAATAAAGTAAAATTTGGGGGAAAAAAAAACCTTACTTTTAAAAGTAGGAAAGAAGAAACAAAAAAAGTTAAATAAACTTTACTATATTATCAGACACTGAAATCAATATTCCTTTTATCTTCGATCCTTCCTAAGACCAGGAAGAGTATAAGGAAAAAAATATGCATTCTATATGTTAAACATATGTTTTAATATATATGTTCGGAGTTAACAGGCTTAAATACTTTTTCAGTCAGATAAGTGATATCATACAGTATTTGTCTTTCTCTGTCTGACTTATCTCACTTAGCATAATGCCCTCAAGGTCCATCCATGTTGTCACGAATGGCAGGAATTCCTTCCTTCCCATGGTTGAGTAATATTCCATTGTACACATACACTGTACCACATCTTCTTTGTCCATTCATCCGTTGACAAACACTCAGGTTGTTTCTCTATCTTGGTTATTGTGAATAATGCTGCAATAAACATGGGAGTGCATATATCTCTTCGATATACTGTTTTCATTTCCTTAAATATAGCCAGGAGTGGGACTGCTGGATCATATGGCAGTTCTATTTTAAATTTTTTGAGGAACCTCATACTGTTTCCCATAGTGGCTGAACCAATTTGAGGGAATGATTACTTAATCAATTAGTCAACCTCCTTAAAAAGAGATGAGTCTTCCACTAAAATGAATAATCATCGCCCAAATGAACTCTTGTATGAATATAATTTTTCACACCTCAAATTTACTTCAAAGATATAACAATAATGAAGACTTGGGGACCATATTATAGATAATCAAACCAAGGCACTAAAGGTTAAGTAAAGCTGCCCAGGGTCACTAGTTAATTGTCAGAAAAAATCATTAGAACACTAGGTTTAATAGGGTAAGAAAGTAAAAATTTATTTTTCTTCATTTTTTGAAAATTATAAAATTGTTTTCTAATTCTTTAAGGTAATTTAAATAAAAGTGAATTTTTTTTTAAAGATTTTATTTATTTATTTATTTTCCCCCCAAAGCCCCAGTAGATAGTTGTATGTCATAGTTGCACATCCTTCTAGTTGCTGTATGTGGGACGCGGCCTCAGCGTGGCCGGAGAAGCGGTGCGTCGGTGCGCGCCTGGGATCCGAACCCGGGCCGCCAGCAGCGGAGCACGCGCACTTAACCACTAAGCCACGGGGTCAGCCCAAAAGTGAATTTCTTAAAACTATTCTGGGAGATAATACTAGCATTGCTCTTTAAATAATCATCTTAGCAACGTGGAAATGAGAAATAGAAAATGTCAAGCTTAGTCAGTTACCATCTTTTCCCTCAGGGAAACCCATGTAGAAGCATGACGTAAACTGGCATCATCTTCTACAACTGGCCTAACTAAGCACAGGGTGTAAGAGGAAACAGATGTGTGGGCACACACACGTGTGCTGTGAATGTCTGCATGTATGTGTTTGTATATGAACGCACACATAATTGAGAGTGTGCCTAGGAACTGGGAATTTTTTTAAGTTGGGGCGTGGAGACTTAGTATAAAGTATGTGCTTTTCCACATGTCTACAGAAGGAAAATATGTAGTGATGTTGTATTCCCATTAAAATACACTAAGCTATACAAAAACGGAATTAAACCCAAAGATTTAGATCCTTTAAAATGGATCTAGAAGTCCTTTTTAAAACTGACTTTATTTTTTCTACCATGTTTACTTTGACCATTAGCCTAAATCACTACAATTTACAGGTTCTATTAATTTTTTCTGTCATACACTGCAAGTCTACTTTAAAAATATCTTAAATTCCATCTCATCTAAAGATCTGTCTCCAAAACACATGCATTAAAGTAGTCACGGCCTTTAAATTAATGTCTATCTTACAGTGATCAACTGATTTAGCTAATTCTTGAGCAGACCTATACTACACATAATGAGCATGAAACTTTAAATATTTCCTATTAATGTTGCCAACTCCCCCCAACCAACTTAACCCATTTAGACCACAGTCACTAATCTCTAGATACCTTTTAGTTTCTCCCTAATTAAGTCATTCAAGGAATAATACCAATTTTAGTCCCTAATTGAAAACACAGTGTTGTAGAAAGAGCATGGTTTCTGAATTGAGCCTGACTTCAATTTTAAAGTCAGCATTACCTGGTATTGTCTTGGTAAACCTTGTGCTTGTTACTTAATCTTTGGAGTAAGAAAAAATAAAAATAACTGAAGTCAGTTGTAAAGTAGTAATAATATTAACTGCAGGAGAGAAGAGAGCTTTCCTCTTGTATACCAATTCTGTAAAGGACGTTGCTAGAGTGCGGGTAGAGGGTAATGTTGAGAAGGATTCTGAAACCAAGTTCACAACTAGGAAGAAGAAAAGATACTTTAAGAAAACACGTGTGCTACAATCAAGAGAGGGAGAAGTGGTGCCACGCACTGCCATCTACGACTGAGGTAACGGATAGACAATGCCTGGCCCACGGCGAGCAGACAAAAAATGTTAATTCCTTTGCATTCTTCACAAGTAGCATACAAAATTCAAAGAAAACTTAGATGTATACCGTGGAAACAGAGAAAACTCTCATAATGTTTTCTTCTCTCTTCTACAGCATCAGTTATCATTTAATTTTAAACACTCTCCTGTGTAAATATTCCAAAACAAATGTTAATCTTCTCATACTTCGTAACTTGTCCTCTTTTCAGAATTTTTCTTTAAAAAAAAAAAAACTTTCAGGCCTCCAACCCTCAGAGAGTTATCCTCCCAAATTGGAATTCCTTTACTTTTTTGTTGTTGCTGTGCAATTACTGTAGAGTTAAAATAGTCTGAATAAGTCTTTCCTGTATTTACTTTTACAAACTCATTTTCTCCATAATATTCCTATCCAGTAACAGCCTAAACTTTGAGACACATACCACCACTCCAGCACCACACAGAATAACCAACCATATCTCTTTTCATAACAATATCTTAGAGCACTTTATAATTTGCAAAGCATACTAAATACAGTATCTCTTTTGATCCATGTAAGGTCCAATGAATTTATTCAATAATTTTTTCTAAGAGGTGTAAGTTTTATTCTATAAAAGTAAATTTACTGTTCACAAATGTAATCCATTTTTGCCACTTTTTAATTCAGTTTTTTAGTTAATTATGTTTTTGACTGTTAGAAGCTCATTAAGATAATACCATAAAACCTTGACTAAGTATATGCTCATAAAAAGGTGTTCTACTTACCTTAATTTTCTAGTTAACTGAGAAAACCTTTTTGTTTTGACTACTGCACCAGATCACTTTTTAAAGCTAATATGCATTATTGCATTAGTTAAGTTCAGAATACTGAAGATAATTTAATATTTCATTAAAATCCTCTATCTCTTGATGATTCAGACTATTACTGTGAATATCAATTCTAACATAGCTCTGAAAATGTGAAAATAAGAAACTATACTGCATATACATATGGATCCTAGAAGTTTGTTTTTAAATAAATTCCTAATAACAGCTTGCTGTGTTATCACTATTTCCTCCATCTAAAAAATGGTAAATCAAGGGTTCCAATTTGTTAGGTTTCAACTGAGATTTTACTACACACATATACAAAATATGCATGTAATCATTTTACTCAAAAGCTTGGAATGTTTTATTTCTAGTGGTTTGTCCAATCTTACATTATACCTATATAGGTATTTTTCACATTAGGTATTAACTGGCTAGGATCTGGAGGGGAAAGAATGAAGTCAGCTAAAGGGAAACCAAATCCATGAAGACAATCTACTATACTACTACACATATGCTATGTACACACATTATAATCATTTTAAAGAAAGCACTAATGCAAACAGTAATACTCAACAAGTTGTATAAATAAGCTAATATGTGGCTCTGCTTTCCACACTGGCATACACTGTTGCATTCTAAAACAAAAAATGAAATGCTTCTTAATACAAATATTTCTCTAGTGTTCCCTACTTCTTTCTAATTTTGTTTAGTGAGTTAGAAAGGAATCTTAAACCATAAATTACTCAAAAGTACTTGCAGAGGTCTCTGAACAAATCTACCTAACATACAAACGTGTCTTACATCTCTGTGAAACATGAGAAATTTTATTTCTGCCAGAAGTCAAAGTATCTCTTTTAGGAATATCACTGATTAAACTGAACTGTAAATCCTGCAAAAATAAACCGTTCAATAAATTGCCTCACTCAGCCACAGACTGTGATAAGTGTGACTTTCTAACTATATTATCCCCAATATACACTGTAATGATCTCCCTCTAACAATAGCATTGAAAGCAGGAAAAGAGTGTGATGTTCTCCTTCAAGACTAATAATATAACATGCTTGTATTGGGTTTTTTATTTCAATATTTCAAATGGCTTTTAAAAGTCCAAATTTGCCTTGGAAATCTTAGAGTAACAATAAATCTTCAAGAGCATCTCAGAATTGTACTGATGATTTAAAAAATATATGTGAAACTGTGTGGTAAACTATAATGTGCATTATGAATAAAAAGTGTGTGTCTGTATATATGTATATATGTACATATGTATTATGTATGCTTTTTATTTATATGTATTTTACATATGTACATAATATATGTAATTATATGTATATATAATTACATATATATACAAACACACACACACACACGTTCTAATTTACCCCTTACAATTTTTAAAAATGCTACCCAGAGAGGATAAGTAGTAAAAGTTAAATAGCAAGTTAACAATAAAGGTGAATATTTTTACTTCAGGAAAACATTTTGCAAGGAGTCTTCTGATATCCCTATGGTAGAGACAGAAAAGTGTGGATTGGAGGAAGGAAGGGCATAGGCCAGATCATTAAAGACTAGCTTTACCCCGAGGTTTTAAGTAATTCAGATTTGCATTTTACAAAGATAACTAGCAATAGTTTAGAAAATGGATTGGAAGGAAACTTAAGACTGGAGATAACAAGAATAGTTAGGAAACTAATACAACTCTCTTCATAAGAGATAAGGGTATAAACTAACGTGTAACCACTCAGCATCATAAACTGAGATGTAGACTTGGCAGGATTTAGTGATCAACAGGATGTTGGGGGTGAATTATAAGACAGGGCTGATTTCCAGGTTTCTAACTCGGATGTCTGGTTATTTAAAAATGCCACTTAGATGGTAAATTTGCATGGAGTGAGGAGTATGGAGGCTAGATTTGGTGGCTGTGATGACAACTTTAGTTTAGGACATTCTGAACGTCCCAAGCTAAACATTTTGGATTGCTGTGGGACATCCAAGATATCTAGCTACTATTTGGAAATATACATTAGAAAAATTCTGTGTGCTTTTTATTTATTAATAGTGCACTTTTAATGTATTGCTCCAGAATGCAGAACTAGTATGAGTAGATAGATAGAAGCTACTGAATGACAGATTTTTGGTCAAATACAAAGACTTTATGAACTATAAGAATTATAGTTCCACATTGGCATATGCTGTTCAATGTTCTTTGGCATGTGAACTCAATGAACTCATCATCACTGAATGTTTTTGTATAAAAGGATGATCCATCTCTTGGTGTGCACACTATACTATAATTGCATGATTAAAATTATCTGTCTCCCCCACTAGAACATGTACTCCTTGAGGGAAGGAATGTGGTCTTAGTCATCTTTATGGCCCATGGAGTCTAGCAATGGACACTGAGTACAGCTAATGCTCAAAAAACCTATTGAATTAACAGGTGAATGAAAAGGACCAGATGTTTTAAGAACCACTTCATTGGGAAGAAGGTTGGATGAGATGCCCCTTGTGCCCCTAAAATTCTAAGATGTCCCTAGCATAAAGTCCTCATACAGAGCTCATTTTACTCCACAACACAGCATGAGGATGGTGTGTATAAAGAATCTGCTTTAGTATGTGATAACACAGTTAGACTAACCTGACCCGACATCTTTATTTGAAATGCTAATACTAACTATAGTTTCTTTGCCAAGCTAGAAAAGGCATAATTCCTGATCTTTATATTATGAAGCCTTAAACAAATGCTTAAGTATGAAAATATTTATGAGAGTATCTCAAACAGAAGAATTTCTAGACTATGAGAATTTAAAGAATCTTGTTCTTTAAACATACAAGTAGTAATAAGCAGAGCAAAATACCATCAGTTGACATGAAAAAGGAATTAATCACATTTAACTGCCAGGGGGAAGAAGGGAAGGACTGAGAAAAAGAGGAAAAACTGGAATTTTTGTGTGTGTGTGTGAGGAAGAAGGGCCCTGAGCTAACATCTGCCAATCCTCCTCCTTTTGCTGAGGAAGACTGGCCCTGGGCTAACATCCACGCCCATCTTCCTCCACTTTATATGGGACACGTCACAGCATGGCTTGCCAAGCGGTGCGTCGGTGCGCGCCTGGGATCCGAACCGGCGAACCCGGGGGCCGGCGCTGCGGGGCGCGCGTACTTAACTGCTTGCGCCACCAGGCCAGCCCCCTGGAAAATATTTTAAGAAATTACAAGTTTTGGATCATATCTGGGTGTTATTTGGCTAATTCTTCCTCACTTTCTGCATAAAACTTTTTACCTTTACCATGTCATAAGAAATTCTACCACGAATTAGTTGGGGAAATAAAGCACAAAATGTAAATCAATGGACTTGGTTTCTTGATTTTTAACCTCTAATAAAAAGTATAGTAAGGAAAAGTGTTTGAAAGCACTGCTCTGGATAACAGGAATATGGAAGATTATAGGTATATCTTATTCCCAGCACCCTCCACCATTTCAGCTAAACTAGGTATTTGAAACTGTCGGAATGCAATCTCTTAAATAAAATAAACGTAAACACACAGCTAAAGCAATTTTGGAGTCCACATGATCTGACAAAAGGTGCCCCCAAAGACGCATGCTACTAGTGACTGGTCACCAAGATGGGAAGTGCTTTGAAAAGTTTTACTTAGGAGGAACACACACAAAATTTAGGGTAATTATATAGCTATGGGTACCTTGCAAATCTGTACAGATGAACACAGACACACACACCGGTAAATTTTACAAACTACTTTCACTGAATTAAGCTAAGAGGGAGACAGGGGCTGGAAGATGCTGCAATGTTTCACATAAATATCCTAGACGTGCGATATTAATTTTCACAATATCCTCCTTAAAAACAAAGCAAAATACAGACACTTCATTCCAGTTACATGTTTTTGGAACAAGAGAAAAATACACTCTAGTGCCAACGATCGTATCTAGGAACTTTATTAAGCTACTTTTTGAAAATATAAGTATTGTTGACACTTTAACACTTAACGGACTGATATATATGCAGGATTCTAAGAGTGTGCGTTTGTTGTAAAGATGTATTTACCTCTCTTTCGTAGAGAAAAAGCAGTTTTGAGTGTTAGGAAAAAAAATACTTGAGAAGGAAATTAACCTCACCCCAAATTTCCCGGTCGCCTACAACCGCAAACACAAGAGGGGACGGAGAGGGCAGCCCAGCATCAGCTCCAGAATAGAGGCTGAGAACGGTTAGGACTAGGACAGCAAAACTGGACTCCCGGTTTGGTAGGAAGGCAGGTACTGCGGGAGGACGGTTTGCTGGGGCCAGGTCAACGGAAAGGGGTACACCCGTCCCGCGGGGTCTGCAGAGCCGCACCGGAGCCCCATGCCGCGCCGTCCCTGTCCGCCGGACCGCGGCCGAGGCCGACGGAACCGCGAGGGCCGGACCGAGCGAGCCAGCCAGCGAGAGTCGGGCGGCCCCGCGACGCGGTCGGGACCCCCGCGCCTCCTCAGCCGGCTCCCCGCCCTCAGGAGACGGCCCCACCCGCGTCACGGCCTCCGGGCGCCGCCGAGCCCCGGTATCTGGGCGTTCCCCCTCCTCCCCGAGCACGGTCGGCCTCCACTTACCTTCAATCGCCATGATGTGCTCGCCATGGACCGCACCAACTGATGGCGGGGGCGGCGGGCGGGCGTGCGGCCGG